ATGTTTCATTAATACCAAACTTTCCAGCAGGTACCGAGCTCAGATATTCTCCTCATTTCCATTAATCCTCTTTCTGGTGTATACAATATCGCCTTCACTACAGAAGCCATGTCAAAGCAGTTGTTATACCCGATGCATCCACAATACTCCTGTAGTCCCTAGCATTCGACCATAGGCTTTGCTAATACTGACCAGTCATTTAAAAGAAACACTGGCTATTTTCTATCAGCGCTGTCTAGAGGAGAACAACACTTCACCAGTAAGTCAGCGAAGGGTTATCCCTCCTATTCATAAGAGCAGTAGTTGTACTGGGCTTTCTAATTACCGTCCCCTAAGTTTGCTTCTTGTCTTTTCAAACTTCTGGAATAATTCAGCTCATGTGCACTGATCTGGAGAACCACAGTATAATAGGTCCGGAGCAACTTAGCTTCGGTCAAAAGCACTGAAGTTATACTAAGCAACTTTTCGCTCAATACCTGGCATAAAATATTTGATCGAGTAGTTGGAGTCGGTGCTGTCTACCTATATTTCTTATAAGTATTTTATCGCTAATAGCATAGGACACAAACTAATGCCAATGGGCCGCATTTTGCCAGCCGCATCTTGTCGTTAATATTCACGGGCATTCCGCCTGATGACATTGGATTGTATTCAACGTAACACAAATTATCCTGGGTGGTTTGCGCACTGTTACTGATGGATCGATATTTAAACCTGAACAAAACCTAGAGCAGCCGGGTCAATGCAAATATGAAACCCGGAAGAGCTAAAGTGCGATGTACATATCATCAGACAACAATTTAACAACAAACCTCAAACACATTCCAAACCAAATGAGTACAATGATTAAGCGCTCAAATGAAATGTGTCGTCAACAGCAATGGTCAACATATAATCACAATGAAGCGAGGCGGTTTTTATGTCAGCGTAGTTTAGATGGAAGTGCTTAATCGTCAATTGATCAACCAATAAGCTGTGCACAGGGAACGAGGTTGGGAGTAGCAATCTTAACATTGCGCGATGCAAAAAGTATAATCTTGTGGTTAACCAAGGTCCAAATATGAAAGAGGACTAAAGTAACGGAGATTTAATCATGCAACGTCCAATAAGTAATCGAGGAGTGGTGATTGATCGTTTTGAGGTTAATCGTTATGGGAAATCTCTAGACAGTTTGATCATGTTAATTTTTCCTTTACATTAGCAGTTTCTTGGAGCCAGTAATCTTGTTGGAGGATGTTAGCCAGATAAGTCTTTCGTCAACTTGCACCTCCATCATAGCCCCACCTAGGATATCAAACATGTAACACAGAATTTGTAGGAAAATAAACGTGCAAGCTTGGCAAGTAATATACAAAAGAATAACCGAACGGAATTAAGAGAATCAAACGAAATGAGATATCCAGATTAAAGTGATATATTTCAAGTACAATTCGGTGTAGCCCAGCTGTGGTTAAGCGGCGTGATGTATGCAAGGTCAATGTACTGAAGACAACATGGCTATATTCCAGTCCTTCACCTGTTACGTCGGCTGCAGACGATACTTGATTTCTGTGACATGTGCATTTTTGAGGTAAACATTCATAGCACGTACTACTTATGTCCTGCTGTTACTTGGTTCCTTTAAGGTAATGCGGGACAATCTGACTTTCTTCTTTCACTGTGATTTAGATGCAGTATATATTCCCACCAACTATGTTATGTCTACCGCATGTCTACGCTTTCCATGCTGCTTTGAATAGGGCATTTTGCAGAGAAATCATGACTAAATGCTCCCATTAGTTATCCTCTGAAAGTGTAGGAGGATATAATCTACCGTTGTCCTGAATAGCAACAAGAACGTCGGCCCAGGTAACAAGCTTTTAGTATTTATCTCCGTGGACTTCAGTACCTAGCTTGGAATCGCAAAAAAATACTATCCTATGTGACTTCGGTTTTCATTTGCACATTCTAGTGGAAAATGAAACAACAGAACAATGGGGCTGTAAAACCCAATCAATGTGACTCAAGAATGATTTGATTTTAAAACTAGCTTGTTTTTATGGAGTGGTGTTAACCAGTCTTGTTCCAGTGTGTACTGATGCAACAAGGAAATAAGTTTCATAAATCTATAGCATATTGCCCGCCATTGGCTTGGTGTTATCAGAGCAGTGTCAATGCAGTTGCATCAGCAACAATGCGACAAGATAGCACCAACTTTATTGCACGCGACTACGATTAACCAATCTGTTACGCACGGGCGTATATATCGGTCATCTAACGACCCACAACACAATATAAATGGGAATTACTACACGTCACCTTCATGCGTCGATTTTTCTCAGTTTTGTGGGCTTCGGCTGCCTATATGACCCCTAATCTTAGCGCGCGTTTCTAGAATTCGGACCAACCCAGGCTTGATTTAGGCTCTGTATTTACTTGTTCGTGGTTGCTTTATTCTCCTTCATGATACTCCTGGATACACTAACAAACAGTTTCTGTTTAATTGCTTAGCATCTCGACAAACAGCCTTTTTGTTTTCCTTTGTTAAGGTTCGTTACCGTTCGTCGCTCGCGACCCGCTCTTGGCTAGTTATATGGGCCTTGCGTTGCGCCGTTCGATATCGTCCATGATGCCCTTGCGTTTGCCTGTCCTCTTTTGATATTGCAGCTTCCCAGCCCTCTACGTGGTTGTTGCCTTTCGAAGCACAAACTGTGAATACCCCCCGATCTTCACTGGATAATATTGTCGATTATTGCAACTTGTACCCCTTTCGTATCCCAGCGCCCAAGTTTCGGCGTGATAACTACGATGTGGTGCTCTGTTTCTCTCAACTGCCAAATATTGTGTTGGAAATTATGAAACAGGCGTTTTTGTTTAGTCTGTTTTCAGATGCGACTAAGAGAATGTGCGCACCATATTGTTATTTATAAATTTTATAGTTCTTCTTACTCATCTCTTATTAACTTTTCGTGTTTTCAAGCACAAATGTATTTTATTTTGCATCAAAAGCGGATGGAAACGTAATGCAAAATACATTAACCTTTGTATTACTTAAGTTTAATCATAGCGCAGCTCAAACTCCGAGAAACGTCAAGCATGAATTTCGAGATGGATACAATAATGAAATACTGCACGATGTTGGTTCCAGAAAGTTCGTTCTGGCAATCTGAGTATCGTCAACGAGCTTCAAGTAGGACCACCGGCCCTTATTGATGACGAGAAAGTAGGTTCGACTGTGGCGTCCGATGCACACATAAGTAATCTTGAACTTGGGAGTAAACTAGGAATTAGCAATGCGGCTGTGTTAAAACAGCTGCATGCAATAAATGATGTACAAAATTTTTTGTCTCATGTGCGTACGAACTGACGCGGCTAGAGATGCTCGATTGCAAAATCAAGTGCGTATATTTGATGCTTTGCAGTAAAATATTGCAGATTGTACACCACTTCTTCACTTCTGATGAAGATTGGATTTTGTATGATAACCGAAAACGAGCAACAAACAAATTGTTAGATAAGAATACACCTCCTAGACGCATGCATATGCCGAAATTGCATAATGCCAAGAGGCTGGTCCATTATTCCTTATAACATCCAAGCAAAACCATAACAGCATATTCTTATTGCCGTTAAATTATTGTTATTAATTAGAAAGATGTGAAAAAAGAAGTAGCATTGCTCATTCAGTGCGGCGCGATAATATTGCTTGATAAGGCAAGATCATATAATGCATCAGTCACTGGTGAAAAATTAACGTCACTGCAATATGAAATTGTACATCATTCATATTCACCATATATTTCCCCTAACGATTATTTCTTTGTCGTAACTAGGAATTTTTGTACGGGAAGGCAATTCATTGAATAAAGTGATAGTATAAATGAAATTGTATTGTTCATCAACTAAAACTGCAGCTCTAAAATATAACATATGACTTGTCCAATCATTGGCGGACAAATGTAACTGCTGATAGGATTTCTTTATGTATAATAGAATAAATAATGTAAAAAATGATCTGTTTGTTCCTATACCTTCATTCAATGCTCGTTTCATAGCTGCCAACCTAATATTTGCAATGACTACTATGAATTATTCACTGCGTCTTGTTCACAGTGGATTAAGTTAGTAGATGTAAGTACTCAATGTTACCCGCTGTATTCCTCGCCGGCAAGAGCTAGTATTGACTAAGCATAAATTGCTTGTATTGAAATGTTTAACGGGCACCCATTAAAAGACGACAAAACACATTGATTACCGTGTCATTCTTGATTACAACTTGTGTGACTGGATTGCAACGCGCAGTCACAATGTAGATGGCGATCTCTACTGTAACAATATGTGGTCAATTATATAACTAGGAACATAATTAATGAAGCAGAACGGGAATTAATATGGTTTTCCCATAATCAAACGTGGACGGATCTACAAATATAGTTACATCATGTACCAACAATATCATTTTGTTCGTAGATGTGCCCTCCATTTGAATTTATTACTTTGAAGTTTTGCGCTTATCATAAAATGTTAGCAAATTTTACCAATTGTTCTTTCCTGATGCACTTCTTTGTTGCATCGCTGGTATCTTCCAATAATATTGCATGTAAACTCTGGTCATAAAAGTTCAGACATCCACGGTCTCATCAAGACCGCATTCCTACGTACCGATGCAGCAGTCTGGCGATTCCCCCTGTTTGCCTCTGTAAATTTTTAAAATTCTTATTACATTGTTCATTTAGGTGACGGATTCGGAAGGTTTACCTGATTATTAGGTTTTATTTTTTGAGACAGGCAATAATTTTGCTCGGCGTTTTTTTTGAATGCAACGTGCAGTCGTTTCTGTTGGCTGTGGGTTTTTTTATTTCCTGGCTTGAAGTCTTCAACGGTGTTGTCTTGTTTTAGGTAGGCAGACAGGGAAAATTTGGCTGTAAGGAAATCGGTTTCCCTACAATACGATTTATATTATAGAGTCTCTAGCCCAGCTTCCGCTAAAGCACATGCACGACAAATAGAATTGACATGTTAAAAAATGTATAGGGCGGTTATATTGAAACATTTGTTAAAAGCAAACATTAATCCATTTGCTTTCTATATGTTGTCAACGTTACAATTGTCATTAAAGGCCAAATCAGGTAGGAATTGGGTTATTTCAGCATACTATGTCAGATATTTATGCGCTTGCTTCTTTAAAAACAGTGAGCTCCAAATACGGACATTGCACTTGATGCCACTGTCACTAGCGTGTACGGTTTACCCTTTCTCACTGAGAAATCTGAAAACATAGCAAACATCTGCATGTATAAATTAGCGAAAATGGCAATCAGGAGGTCAGCACAGTAGATTTGGTCTGACGAATTTAGAAACGGTAGTATTTCCATTCATAATCCTTTGGTAAACAAAAAGGTAATGGGGACCAACTGCTATGTTAATACAAATCTAGATGCCACTCTTAACTTGGTGCAGGCGAGCGAAATGCAAATTAAGTATGGAAACGTTAAGTAAATAGGAATTTCAAGTGAGTTAATGATGCAATATAATTGCGCTGGGATCAGTTTTTCAAAACATTGCGACAAGGCTGCTTAATTTTCAACTGAAATAAACAATTGATTTGCTCATAGTATTAGGTCGTAATAGCGAAGTGTCAGTAAATTTATTAAAGGATATTGCTGAATGGGCAAAAATTGTTACGCACAAAATGCGGAAAATTGGGTCTCATGATATCCGAGGTCTCGGTGTCAGTCTGAGATTAATCTCTGTTGAAATAAATGCGCTGAGTAAAAGCAGCGTTAAAGGCGCGCGTTTAAGTCTTGGTAGCTCACATGGCAAAGCCTCGGAAAGGTAACCGCAAATCAAAGGAAAGCTACCAAGTAGAAAGAGCATATTGCGCAGCGTAAATGCAGAAAAAATTAAACCAAATGTAAAAACTTCCTCCACCCAAACCAAAACAATTAAAAATATTAGCTCTGGTAGAGTTCAAAGAAAAAAATCATTTCAAAAAATGCTATCCGCCAAGTTGCCAGTAAAGTTTACGAAAAAATAATCATCCGACACTCACCGGAATCAGACTCAGCTGCTATTTGCGCCTGCTCATTGTTTGCAGAATTTGCGCTTTTGGTGGAACCTGCATTCGTGACGAACAAAATAAGATAAAGAAATAGGATCAACGGTGAGCAAAAGTGGACGGCTCAAACAATTTATCGCCGTAAGATAACGGAAATCAAGTGCACGTAATCCATTTATTAATATGGCAAAATAACAAGGTGGACAAGCGAATGCAAGTCAGCATATGCCTATTGCACTAGAATGCATCCCTTCAAAATTTTACGCAGCATTCTGAAGATGCTAGTTGACAAAAACCTTATTCAAAATTTAAACATTTACCAAGAAAATTAAGAAAATAGCAACAATTCTCTACTGCAAGAATGAATGCTCCGTAAAAAATACACAGGGCAATATGTAACGTGATAGAGAAAAATAATAGGTGGGTGGAATCTACGGATAAGAAAACAAAGAAGCAAATTAAAGAAAAATTAGGGGTTTAAGTGAAAACAGATATTTTTCATATATTCCTCATCAATTTTCATAAAATAATTGACAAATATAAGTAACGCAAAACGATAGAAAAGGAGTATTGTTTCCGGTTTAAATAGAAGCTACTAAAACCTCACCGTGGTAAGGCAAATTTACTCACATACTTCGTCAGCTAACATAACGTAAATCCTAGACAATCCAATTTTAAAAACCCTGCAGAATCAGGCAGACAAAAATAATTTGATGATTAATGACGTCGTGCTTAACCGGTTGACAAACAGCACTAAACTGCGCCCTATCTCCATCGCCCGGAATATGTTTGGAATCCGCAGTTGCCAACACACACAGGAATCGTTTTATAATCTTAATTGACAGCAGATTTCTTGTCGAATTTGGTTTGCCGTGGGTCCATTTATATATTTAACTGAAATCTAAAGAAAGTTATGATAGGTTACATCTGTCGCAAAGAAATACAATTTTCTTATCGGGGATAATATGACAACCATGCATTCTGTATTATATAGATAAATCTGTTGACAATCCTAAATTATGGGATACTAAGACAGCCGCATGCGTAGCGTGACAAATGTGTAGGAAATGTAAGTGTTGCCTATCCGAAAACACTGCACTTATTTGATGCGATCAAACGATTTCGAATCGCCTAGTAAAGTACAGGGTTTTCGGGCCTGCTGAATTCCATTTCTTTACAATGCAGCTAAGCTCCTGCTGAGCGATTTGGCTGGGGTTAACTTCAGTTAGGTTCACCGTCCAACTTTATATACGTGTCGTAGTCCAAGCACATAACGATATTTCAATACTATTCAACATCCGGAATTAGGTATGACATCTCTCACCACATAAAATGGAAGGAAATATATGAATGAAAGGTTACTTTATCAGCCAGTAGGAAAGACAACATGATGTCACATCATTTCATTGTGTTAAACTAAATTGAAAGAGAACATGGTTGCATCTGAATCTTTCCAAGTCCTTTATAACTAGCATTAGTTGTCTCAAGGATAGTACCAATATCAGCAATGACACTGTAGCCAACTTATTGTGTTCCATAGATATGTACTATAGAGGCGAACTCTCGTCGAATAAAGTGAATACATACCGAATATGACCATCGCTAAAAGCCATGGTAAGCAGTAGGCGCATGAACCTTTCCTCATTAAATTAGGTACACTGGGTGAAATTTATAACCCGTCATTTTAAACCGTCTATTTCACAAAGAGTAGAGCAAAACGGGACTAATAATTTTTCCGAGTGGTATTTGAAAATTCATTTATAGCAGCCCAAAATTATCCAGATGCGGACACAAATGTTATGAATCCAATTTCAGTGTACAACGCTGCTTATAGCCGTTGCTCGAAATGAATGTTTGGAACTGCCTGGTTCCATTACTTCGTGCACTCGATTACACCCAACAATTAGAGAGATCAGGAATGCGAGCCGGATCCGGGATATTTGAGCGTCCGGCCGAAATCTTTACTCGTGGCCTCCGGAGTCGCGACAACTAGGCTTGTTAATAATTGTGATAGAAGATTAAAATTATTGCTAATGTGGTGCATTGCTTAATATCACAATTCACGTTAGCTCGTGGTAGGTGAACTTTCATCTATTGTGCTACAAAAATGAGAAACGAAAAAGACAAACACAGACAGAGCAGCTGAGCCACGATTAATGGATTTACATACTTCCGGTTCATTAGGACCCTGAGATGGCGACGCAAATAATGTCGGATTTTACATCTATTATGATATCGTGTTGGAAGGGTGGAGACAAAGTAACTCACGGTGAAAACACTACTGCGTTTGGGTCCAAGCTTTTTCAACCAACTTTTCCATTCAAAATATGTAAAAGTCGACAAGCAACGCACTTCGATTTGAAAGGCATTTGTGTCAAATTGGTCACCGGTATACTAGTTAGAGCATATGAATATTGCATATGCCTGAACAGAAACACTGCGTGCATGACGGGTTTCGTAACATTATCCACTTATCAGGTAGAGAATGTACAATGTCACCAGCAATCGCTAACGTTAGACAATAAACACTTGGTATTTGATGCGTTACAAGTACCACCATATTGGAAATTATGTTGTCGGCCGACATGCTAGTAAAGTATTCGAAAAAGTAATGATCCGACACTCACCGGAATGAGACTCAGCTGCTGTTGGCGCTTGCTCATGGTTTGTTGCAGCGGTGCTTTTGGTGGTTCCTTCTTTCGTGATGAACAAAATGGGTTAAAGACATATGATCAACGGAGAGCACAAGTGGACGGTTTGAACAAAATATCGCCATAAGATTGGGGAAACAAAGTGCATGTTATCCATTGCTTAGTATTGCAAATTAACAAGGCAGCCAGGTGAAAGCAAGTCAGCATAAGCCTATTGCACTAGAATGTATCCCTTCAACACTTTACGTAGCCGTCTGAGGAACTTATCAGGCATCAACCTTAAGCGCCATTTTATGATAATCAATAAAAATAAGAAACATTCATGCATCTCTCTATTGCGTTAATGACTGCTCCGTAAAAATTGCGGTGCAATATTACGGTGATATGGAAAAATGTTACGTGGGTGAAATCTACGGATAAGATTACAAAGTAGCAAAATTAGTATAATTTACGTGACAAGCTGAAATCAGATATTCCGCGTCTTCTCCACATGCGTTTTCATAACATATTTGGTACTCAGAAGTTACACTAAACGGTGGACAAGGAGTATTATTTTCGGTTTAAATAGAAGCTACTAAAACCTCACCGTGGTAAGGCAAATTTACTCACATACTTCGTCAGCTAACATAACGTAAATCCTAGACAATCCAATTTTAAAAACCCTGCAGAATCAGGCAGACAAAAATAATTTGATGATTAATGACGTCGTGCTTAACCGGTTGACAAACGGCACTACACTGCGCCCTATCTCCATCGCCCGGAATATGTTTGGAATCCGCAGGTGCCAACACACACAGGAATCGTTTTATAATCTTAATTGACAGCAGATTTCTTGTCGAATTTGGTTTGCCGTGGGTCCATTTATATATTTAACTGAAATCTAAAGAAAGTTATGATAGGTTACATCTGTCGCAAAGAAATACAATTTTCTTATCGGGGATAATATGACAACCATGCATTCTGTATTATATAGATAAATCTGTTGACAATCCTAAATTATGGGATACTAAGACAGCCGCATGCGTAGCGTGACAAATGTGTAGGAAATGTAAGTGTTGCCTATCCGAAAACACTGCACTTATTTGATGCGATCAAACGATTTCGAATCGCCTAGTAAAGTACAGGGTTTTCGGGCCTGCTGAATTCCATTTCTTTACAATGCAGCTAAGCTCCTGCTGAGCGATTTGGCTGGGGTTAACTTCAGTTAGGTTCACCGTCCAACTTTATATACGTGTCGTAGTCCAAGCACATAACGATATTTCAATACTATTCAACATCCGGAATTAGGTATGACATCTCTCACCACATAAAAAGGAAGGAAATATATGAATGAAAGGTTACTTTATCAGCCAGTAGGAAAGACAACATGATGTCACATCATTTCATTGTGTTAAACTAAATTGAAAGAGAACATGGTTGCATCTGAATCTTTCCAAGTCCTTTATAACTAGCATTAGTTGTCTCAAGGATAGTACCAATATCAGCAATGACACTGTAGCCAACTTATTGTGTTCCATAGATATGTACTATAGAGGCGAACTCTCGTCGAATAAAGTGAATACATACCGAATATGACCATCGCCAAAAGCCATGGTAAGCAGTAGGCGCATGAACCTTTCCTCATTAAATTAGGTACACTGGGTGAAATTTATAACCCGTCATCATGCATAATATTTTAAACCGTCTATTTCACAAAGAGGTAGAGCAAAACGGGACTAATAATTTTTCCGAGTGGTATTTGAAAATTCATTTATAGCAGCCCAAAATTATCCAGATGCGGACACAAATGTTATGAAGCCAATTTCAGTGTACAACGCTGCTTATAGCCGTTGCTCGAAATGAATGTTTGGAACTGCCTGGTTCCATTACTTCGTGCACTCGATTACACCCAACAATTAGAGAGATCAGGAATGCGAGCCGGATCCGGGATATTTGAGTGTCCGGCCGAAATCTTTACTCGTGGCCTCCGGAGTCGCGACAACTAGGCTTGTTAATAATTGTGATAGAAGATTAAAATTATTGCTAATGTGGTGCATTGCTTAATATCACAATTCACGTTAGCTCGTGGTAGGTGAACTTTCATCTATTGTGCTGCAAATATGAGAAACGAAAAAGACAAACACAGACAGAGCAGCTGAGCCACGATTAATGGATTTACATACTTCCGGTTCATTAGTACCCTGAGATGGCGACGCAAATAATGTCGGATTTTACATCTATTATGATATCGTGTTGGAAGGGTGGAGACAAAGTAACTCACGGTGAAAACACTACTGCGTTTGGGTCCAAGCTTTTTCAACCAACTTTTCCATTCAAAATATGCAAAAGTCGACAAGCAACGCACTTCGATTTGAAAGGCATTTGTGTCAAATTGGTCACCGGTATACTAGTTAGAGCATATGAATATTGCATATGCCTGAACAGAAACACTGCGTGCATGACGGGTTTCGTAACATTGTCCACTTATCAGGTAGAGAATGTACAATGTCACCAGCAATCGCTAACGTTAGACAATAAACACTTGGTATTTGATGCGTTACAAGTACCACCATATTGGAAATTATGTTGTCGGCCGACATGCTAGTAAAGTATTCGAAAAAGTAATGATCCGACACTCACCGGAATGAGACTCAGCTGCTGTTGGCGCTTGCTCATGGTTTGTTGCAGCGGTGCTTTTGGTGGTTCCTTCTTTCGTGATGAACAAAATGGGTTAAAGACATATGATCAACGGAGAGCACAAGTGGACGGTTTGAACAAAATATCGCCATAAGATTGGGGAAACAAAGTGCATGTTATCCATTGCTTAGTATTGCAAATTAACAAGGCAGCCAGGTGAAAGCAAATCAGCATAAGCCTATTGCACTAGAATGCATCCCTTCAACACTTTACGTAGCCGTCTGAGGAACTTATCAGGCATCAACCTTAGGCGCCATTTTATGATAATCAATAAAAATAAGAAACATTCATGCATCTCTCTATTGCGTTAATGACTGCTCCGTAAAAATTGCGGTGCAATATTACGGTGATATGGAAAAATGTTACGTGGGTGAAATCTACGGATAAGATTACAAAGTAGCAAAATTAGTATAATTTACGTGATAAGCTGAAATCAGATATTCCGCGTCTTCTCCACATGCGTTTTCATAACATATTTGGTACTCAGAAGTTACACTAAACGGTGGACAAGGAGTATTATTTTCGGTTTAAATAGAAGCTACTAAAACCTCACCGTGGTAAGGCAAATTTACTCACATACTTCGTCAGCTAACATAATGTAAATCTTAGCCAAAGAATTTTTTTTAGAACCTGCAGAATCAGGCAGACAAAAATAATTTGATGATTAATGACGCCGTGCTTAACCGGTTGACAAACGGCACTAAACTGCGCCCTATCTCCATCGCCCGGAATATGTTTGGAATCCGCAGGTGCCAACACACACAGGAATCGTTTTATAATCTTAATTGACAGCAGATTTCTTGTCGAATTTGGTTTGCCGTGGGTCCATTTATATATTTAACTGAAATCTAAAGAAGGTTATGAGAGGTTACATCTGTCGCAAAGAAATACAATTTTCTTATCGGGGATAATATGACAACCATGCATTCTGTATTATATAGATAAATCTGTTGACAATCCTAAATTATGGGATACTAAGACAGCCGCATGCGTAGCGTGACAAATGTGTAGGAAATGTAAGTGTTGCCTATCCGAAAACACTGCACTTATTTGATGCGATCAAACGATTTCGAATCGCCTAGTAAAGTACAGGGTTTTCGGGCCTGCTGAATTCCATTTCTTTACAATGCAGCTAAGCTCCTGCTGAGCGATTTGGCTGGGGTTAACTTCAGTTAGGTTCACCGTCCAACTTTATATACGTGTCGTAGTCCAAGCACATAACGATATTTCAATACTATTCAACATCCGGAATTAGGTATGACATCTCTCACCACATAAAAAGGAAGGAAATATATGAATGAAAGGTTACTTTATCAGCCAGTAGGAAAGACAACATGATGTCACATCATTTCATTGTGTTAAACTAAATTGAAAGAGAACATGGTTGCATCTGAATCTTTCCAAGTCCTTTATAACTAGCATTAGTTGTCTCAAGGATAGTACCAATATCAGCAATGACACTGTAGCCAACTTATTGTGTTCCATAGATATGTACTATAGAGGCGAACTCTCGTCGAATAAAGTGAATACATACCGAATATGACCATCGCCAAAAGCCATGGTAAGCAGTAGGCGCATGAACCTTTCCTCATTAAATTAGGTACACTGGGTGAAATTTATAACCCGTCATCATGCATAATATTTTAAACCGTCTATTTCACAAAGAGGTAGAGCAAAACGGGACTAATAATTTTTCCGAGTGGTATTTGAAAATTCATTTATAGCAGCCCAAAATTATCCAGATGCGGACACAAATGTTATGAAGCCAATTTCAGTGTACAACGCTGCTTATAGCCGTTGCTCGAAATGAATGTTTGGAACTGCCTGGTTCCATTACTTCGTGCACTCGATTACACCCAACAATTAGAGAGATCAGGAATGCGAGCCGGATCCGGGATATTTGAGTGTCCGGCCGAAATCTTTACTCGTGGCCTCCGGAGTCGCGACAACTAGGCTTGTTAATAATTGTGATAGAAGATTAAAATTATTGCTAATGTGGTGCATTGCTTAATATCACAATTCACGTTAGCTCGTGGTAGGTGAACTTTCATCTATTGTGCTGCAAATATGAGAAACGAAAAAGACAAACACAGACAGAGCAGCTGAGCCACGATTAATGGATTTACATACTTCCGGTTCATTAGTACCCTGAGATGGCGACGCAAATAATGTCGGATTTTACATCTATTATGATATCGTGTTGGAAGGGTGGAGACAAAGTAACTCACGGTGAAAACACTACTGCGTTTGGGTCCAAGCTTTTTCAACCAACTTTTCCATTCAAAATATGTAAAAGTCGACAAGCAACGCACTTCGATTTGAAAGGCATTTGTGTCAAATTGGTCACCGGTATACTAGTTAGAGCATATGAATATTGCATATGCCTGAACAGAAACACTGCGTGCATGACGGGTTTCGCAACATTGTCCACTTATCAGGTAGAGAATGTACAATGTCACCAGCAATCGCTAACGTTAGACAATAAACACTTGGTATTTGATGCGTTACAAGTACCACCATATTGGAAATTATGTTGTCGGCCGACATGCTAGTAAAGTATTCGAAAAAGTAATGATCCGACACTCACCGGAATGAGACTCAGCTGCTGTTGGCGCTTGCTCATGGTTTGTTGCAGCGGTGCTTTTGGTGGTTCCTTCTTTCGTGATGAACAAAATGGGTTAAAGACATATGATCAACGGAGAGCACAAGTGGACGGTTTGAACAAAATATCGCCATAAGATTGGGGAAACAAAGTGCATGTTTTCCATTGCTTAGTATTGCAAATTAACAAGGCAGCCAGGTGAAAGCAAATCAGCATAAGCCTATTGCACTAGAATGCATCCCTTCAACACTTTACGTAGCCGTCTGAGGAACTTATCAGGCATCAACCTTAAGCGCCATTTTATGATAATCAATAAAAATAAGAAACATTCATGCATCTCTCTATTGCGTTAATGACTGCTCCGTAAAAATTGCGGTGCAATATTACGGTGATATGGAAAAATGTTACGTGGGTGAAATCTACGGATAAGATTACAAAGTAGCAAAATTAGTATAATTTACGTGACAAGCTGAAATCAGATATTCCGCGTCTTCTCCACATGCGTTTTCATAACATATTTGGTACTCAGAAGTTACACTAAACGGTGGACAAGGAGTATTATTTTCGGTTTAAATAGAAGCTACTAAAACCTCACCGTGGTAAGGCAAATTTACTCACATACTTCGTCAGCTAACATAATGTAAATCTTAGCCAAAGAATTTTTTTAGAACCTGCAGAATCAGGCAGACAAAAATAATTTGATGATTAATGACGCCGTGCTTAACCGGTTGACAAACGGCACTAAACTGCGCCCTATCTCCATCGCCCGGAATATGTTTGGAATCCGCAGGTGCCAACACACACAGGAATCGTTTTATAATCTTAATTGACAGCAGATTTCTTGTCGAATTTGGTTTGCCGTGGGTCCATTTATATATTTAACTGAAATCTAAAGAAGGTTATGAGAGGTTACATCTGTCGCAAAGAAATACAATTTTCTTATCGGGGATAATATGACAACCATGCATTCTGTATTATATAGATAAATCTGTTGACAATCCTAAATTATGGGATACTAAGACAGCCGCATGCGTAGCGTGACAAATGTGTAGGAAATGTAAGTGTTGCCTATCCGAAAACACTGCACTTATTTGATGCGATCAAACGATTTCGAATCGCCTAGTAAAGTACAGGGTTTTCGGGCCTGCTGAATTCCATTTCTTTACAATGCAGCTAAGCTCCTGCTGAGCGATTTGGCTGGGGTTAACTTCAGTTAGGTTCACCGTCCAACTTTATATACGTGTCGTAGTCCAAGCACATAACGATATTTCAATACTATTCAACATCCGGAATTAGGTATGACATCTCTCACCACATAAAAAGGAAGGAAATATATGAATGAAAGGTTACTTTATCAGCCAGTAGGAAAGACAACATGATGTCACATCATTTCATTGTGTTAAACTAAATTGAAAGAGAACATGGTTGCATCTGAATCTTTCCAAGTCCTTTATAACTAGCATTAGTTGTCTCAAGGATAGTACCAATATCAGCAATGACACTGTAGCCAACTTATTGTGTTCCATAGATATGTACTATAGAGGCGAACTCTCGTCGAATAAAGTGAATACATACCGAATATGACCATCGCCAAAAGCCATGGTAAGCAGTAGGCGCATGAACCTTTCCTCATTAAATTAGGTACACTGGGTGAAATTTATAACCCGTCATCATGCATAATATTTTAAACCGTCTATTTCACAAAGAGGTAGAGCAAAACGGGACTAATAATTTTTCCGAGTGGTATTTGAAAATTCATTTATAGCAGCCCAAAATTATCCAGATGCGGACACAAATGTTATGAAGCCAATTTCAGTGTACAACGCTGCTTATAGCCGTTGCTCGAAATGAATGTTTGGAACTGCCTGGTTCCATTACTTCGTGCACTCGATTACACCCAACAATTAGAGAGATCAGGAATGCGAGCCGGATCCGGGATATTTGAGTGTCCGGCCGAAATCTTTACTCGTGGCCTCCGGAGTCGCGACAACTAGGCTTGTTAATAATTGTGATAGAAGATTAAAATTATTGCTAATGTGGTGCATTGCTTAATATCACAATTCACGTTAGCTCGTGGTAGGTGAACTTTCATCTATTGTGCTGCAAATATGAGAAACGAAAAAGACAAACACAGACAGAGCAGCTGAGCCACGATTAATGGATTTACATACTTCCGGTTCATTAGTACCCTGAGATGGCGACGCAAATAATGTCGGATTTTACATCTATTATGATATCGTGTTGGAAGGGTGGAGACAAAGTAACTCACGGTGAAAACACTACTGCGTTTGGGTCCAAGCTTTTTCAACCAACTTTTCCATTCAAAATATGTAAAAGTCGACAAGCAACGCACTTCGATTTGAAAGGCATTTGTGTCAAATTGGTCACCGGTATACTAGTTAGAGCATATGAATATTGCATATGCCTGAACAGAAACACTGCGTGCATGACGGGTTTCGTAACATTATCCACTTATCAGGTAGAGAATGTACAATGTCACCAGCAATCGCTAACGTTAGACAATAAACACTTGGTATTTGATGCGTTACAAGTACCACCATATTGGAAATTATGTTGTCGGCCGACATGCTAGTAAAGTATTCGAAAAAGTAATGATCCGACACTCACCGGAATGAGACTCAGCTGCTGTTGGCGGTTGCTCATGGTTTGTTGCAGCGCTGCTTTTGGTGGTTCCTTCTTTCGTGATGAACAAAATGGGTTAAAGACATATGATCAACGGAGAGCACAAGTGGACGGTTTGAACAAAATATCGCCATAAGATTGGGGAAACAAAGTGCATGTTTTCCATTGCTTAGTATTGCAAATTAACAAGGCAGCCAGGTGAAAGCAAGTCAGCATAAGCCTATTGCACTAGAATGCATCCCTTCAACACTTTACGTAGCCGTCTGAGGAACTTATCAGGCATCAACCTTAAGCGCCATTTTATGATAATCAATAAAAATAAGAAACATTCATGCATCTCTCTATTGCGTTAATGACTGCTCCGTAAAAATTGCGGTGCAATATTACGGTGATATGGAAAAATGTTACGTGGGTGAAATCTACGGATAAGAATACAAAGTAGCAAAATTAGTATAATTTACGTGATAAGCTGAAATCAGATATTCCGCGTCTTCTCCACATGCGTTTTCATAACATATTTGGTACTCAGAAGTTACACTAAACGGTGGACAAGGAGTATTATTTTCGGTTTAAATAGAAGCTACTAAAACCTCATCGTGGTAAGGCAAATATAGTCACATACTTCGTCAGCTAACATAATGTAAATCTTAGCCAAAGAATTTTTTTAGAACCTGCAGAATCAGGCAGACAAAAATAATTTGATGATTAATGACGCCGTGCTTAACCGGTTGACAAACGGCACTAAACTGCGCCCTATCTCCATCGCCCGGAATATGTTTGGAATCCGCAGGTGCCAACACACACAGGAATCGTTTTATAATCTTAATTGACAGCAGATTTCTTGTCGAATTTGGTTTGCCGTGGGTCCATTTATATATTTAACTGAAATCTAAAGAAGGTTATGAGAGGTTACATCTGTCGCAACGAAAAACAATTTTCTTATCGGGGATAATATGACAACCATGCATTCTGTATTATATAGATAAATCTGTTGACAATCCTAAATTATGGGATACTAAGACAGCCGCATGCGTAGCGTGACAAATGTGTAGGAAATGTAAGTGTTGCCTATCCGAAAACACTGCACTTATTTGATGCGATCAAACGATTTCGAATCGCCTAGTAAAGTACAGGGTTTTCGGGCCTGCTGAATTCCATTTCTTTACAATGCAGCTAAGCTCCTGCTGAGCGATTTGGCTGGGGTTAACTTCAGTTAGGTTCACCGTCCAACTTTATATACGTGTCGTAGTCCAAGCACATAACGATATTTCAATACTATTCAACATCCGGAATTAGGTATGACATCTCTCACCACATAAAAAGGAAGGAAATATATGAATGAAAGGTTACTTTATCAGCCAGTAGGAAAGACAACATGATGTCACATCATTTCATTGTGTTAAACTAAATTGAAAGAGAACATGGTTGCATCTGAATCTTTCCAAGTCCTTTATAACTAGCATTAGTTGTCTCAAGGATAGTACCAATATCAGCAATGACACTGTAGCCAACTGATTGTGTTCCATAGATATGTACTATAGAGGCGAACTCTCGTCGAATAAAGTGAATACATACCGAATATGACCATCGCCAAAAGCCATGGTAAGCAGTAGGCGCATGAACCTTTCCTCATTAAATTAGGTACACTGGGTGAAATTTATAACCCGTCATCATGCATAATATTTTAAACCGTCTATTTCACAAAGAGGTAGAGCAAAACGGGACTAATAATTTTTCCGAGTGGTATTTGAAAATTCATTTATAGCAGCCCAAAATTATCCAGATGCGGACACAAATGTTATGAATCCAATTTCAGTGTACAACGCTGCTTATAGCCGTTGCTCGAAATGAATGTTTGGAACTGCCTGGTTCCATTACTTCGTGCACTCGATTACACCCAACAATTAGAGAGATCAGGAATGCGAGCCGGATCCGGGATATTTGAGTGTCCGGCCGAAATCTTTACTCGTGGCCGCCGGAGTCGCGACAACTAGGCTTGTTAATAATTGTGATAGAAGATTAAAATTATTGCTAATGTGGTGCATTGCTTAATATCACAATTCACGTTAGCTCGTGGTAGGTGAACTTTCATCTATTGTGCTGCAAATATGAGAAACGAAAAAGACAAACACAGACAGAGCAGCTGAGCCACGATTAATGGATTTACATACTTCCGGTTCATTAGTACCCTGAGATGGCGACGCAAATAATGTCGGATTTTACATCTATTATGATATCGTGTTGGAAGGGTGGAGACAAAGTAACTCACGGTGAAAACACTACTGCGTTTGGGTCCAAGCTTTTTCAACCAACTTTTCCATTCAAAATATGCAAAAGTCGACAAGCAACGCACTTCGATTTGAAAGGCATTTGTGTCAAATTGGTCACCGGTATACTAGTTAGAGCATATGAATATTGCATATGCCTGAACAGAAACACTGCGTGCATGACGGGTTTCGTAACATTATCCACTTATCAGGTAGAGAATGTACAATGTCACCAGCAATCGCTAACGTTAGACAATAAACACTTGGTATTTGATGCGTTACAAGTACCACCATATTGGAAATTATGTTGTCGGCCGACATGCTAGTAAAGTATTCGAAAAAGTAATGATCCGACACTCACCGGAATGAGACTCAGCTGCTGTTGGCGCTTGCTCATGGTTTGTTGCAGCGGTGCTTTTGGTGGTTCCTTCTTTCGTGATGAACAAAATGGGTTAAAGACATATGATCAACGGAGAGCACAAGTGGACGGTTTGAACAAAATATCGCCATAAGATTGGGGAAACAAAGTGCATGTTTTCCATTGCTTAGTATTGCAAATTAACAAGGCAGCCAGGTGAAAGCAAGTCAGCATAAGCCTATTGCACTAGAATGCATCCCTTCAACACTTTACGTAGCCGTCTGAGGAACTTATCAGGCATCAACCTTAAGCGCCATTTTATGATAATCAATAAAAATAAGAAACATTCATGCATCTCTCTATTGCGTTAATGACTGCTCCGTAAAAATTGCGGTGCAATATTACGGTGATATGGAAAAATGTTACGTGGGTGAAATCTACGGATAAGATTACAAAGTAGCAAAATTAGTATAATTTACGTGATAAGCTGAACTCAGATATTCCGCGTCTTCTCCACATGCGTTTTCATAACATATTTGGTACTCAGAAGTTACACTAAACGGTGGACAAGGAGTATTATTTTCGGTTTAAATAGAAGCTACTAAAACCTCACCGTGGTAAGGCAAATTTACTCACATACTTCGTCAGCTAACATAATGTAAATCTTAGCCAAAGAATTTTTTTTAGAACCTGCAGAATCAGGCAGACAAAAATAATTTGATGATTAATGACGCCGTGCTTAACCGGTTGACAAACGGCACTAAACTGCGCCCTATCTCCATCGCCCGGAATATGTTTGGAATCCGCAGGTGCCAACACACACAGGAATCGTTTTATAATCTTAATTGACAGCAGCTTTCTTGTTAGCTTTATTTTGCTGTGGTTTCAATTAGTCTTTGACTGAAATCTTATTTACGATGTTTTAAAATATTTGCGTCCATTTTTTTCTTTCCCTTGTTATTTTTCCCATTGTTTTTTTTAAACTGGCCGATTTATATTTTGCCTTACCATTTTTTCTATCCTTCCGATTCGGTAGATATTCTACGATCAGCTGATGTGAATTTGCGAACTCTTTTTCGGATTTCCTTTCCAAATTTTCCTCTTTCCCAGCACTCCGATGTTTTGTAAGTAGTAGACTTTCACAGAGACAACCTCTGCTCAACAATATTCCGCGTAGTTGGTACATTTTACGCTGCTGTAAATCCTTCTGCTCGACAACATTTTGTTGCTAGCGATTTCAGATGGACGACTCTAAGCTTGCTGCCGACATCTGGTAATTGCTGTTTGTGCAAACCATGATGATGCTATCCTTATGATAATCGTTTAGTATGAATCTGAGAAGTTACATCCGCATTTGAATAATAACTCTATCTTAACTGAAAACATTTTTCGTATAGGGGATAAACTACATGCAAGCTTTCTGTAGTACATAGCTAAATCTGTTGTCAATCGTAAATTCTGGGCTAATAAAACAGCTGTATGCTTAGCGTGAGATAAAATAGTTAGAAGAGTTTGTTTTGCCTACTTGAAAACACTTCACTTGTTTGTTGAGATCAAAGGAGTTCGAATCGCTTTGTGAAATACAGTATTTTCGGTAGTGCTGGACCCAATTTCTTATACACTCATCTAAGATTCCTTTTAATATTTTTTTCTCATGTTATTGAGCAGTAAAATCGATGTGAGATTTGAACGCTGTCATCGATTTGGTTGAGTGGCAAAAGCTTGAAATTTCTAAAAGGTGGAAACAGGGGTCTAATTATTTTCGTATTTCCAGTGGCAGTCTTTGAATATTCTCCATATACTTTTAATGCGTTGAGAAGATGCATTCGGAACAAGTACTTTGAAACACCTCTATATGTTCTCTCTATAATTTTTTCGTATTTTGGTTATCAAGCTGCCTATATTTTGTGTGTATATCGAACTAGTCCACTTATTTATCCAGTCAACCAGCAAGCAAAATGGAACGTATTTGTTCGGATAACTGTTAGTTGTAAGACAGTTTACATCAGGTAAGAAAACAGACGCTTTCGTATTTGTTGCTTAACAAGAACCACCTATTATGAAATTAGGTTATCGGCCGACTTGCTAATAACTTTCCAAACAAGAAGTAATACGACACTCACCGGTGCTGGGCTCGGTTGAATTTGCCACATTCCCATTGCTTGTTGGAGCTGTGACGTTGATGTTTCCTGATTTCGTGATGAACGAAATGGGTTGAAGACTTATGATCAACGAACAGTTTAAAAAAGGTATCTACACAGGCCTTGGGAAGACAAGCGAATATTATCAAACGTTCACTATGGCAAAGTAACAAGGCAGCCTTGTGAAATAAAGTGAGGATAAGTCTATTGCACTAATATGTGTTCCTATTCAACATTTACGCATCTGTATGATGAACGTAGCTTGCGTCATTCTTATGTAAAATTTTAAATGTACTAGGCAACATCAGAAACAGTCTTGCATATCTCACTCGAGTAAATGACTGTTCAACAAAACAGATAAGGTTTAATAAACAGTGTTATAGATTAACAGTACATGGGTGGAAGAAGCGGATAGAAATTTAAAATAGCAAAAAGGAACAACATTTAAAAGGATAAGCTGAGATCAGATAGTTTTCGTCGCCTCTTCAGCCGGTTTCCGAGAATCTGTGTTTATTATAAGTTACCTACAATGGTAGACGAGGTGTACTGTCGTTCATGCATGAGTCTGAGGCACTCATGAATAGTTGAAAAATTTGTCGTTTTACTTTTTGAAATTGCTGGTCCAATTTAACTGGGCACGCAGGTGACCGGAGTATTTCTTAGTTCTCGTCATAGTGCATCGATGTTTGACATTCAAAAAAGGGCTCCATCACCTAGCGCACTGCTCTAGGAGCAGCTTATCAGACCTTACAATTCATCCTGTTAGTGCAGCCTTGATGATCTGGCCCGGACTAAATCTGGTGAGGAAAATAGAACTCATAACTTCTATCGTTTTTTCAATCATTAATGAAATACAACATGTTGCATCTCTTTTTGCTTTACTATGCCCTTATCTGAGGCAATCTTGCGTACATGAATTAATTGGTCGAAATGATTTTGGACCTTACTGTTGTGCGATGGTTTGCTTGTCTTAGCGATCCAATAACCTATGCTGGGTGAAGATCTTTTGCACCTTCAGACCTACTCATACCAGATAGGTCAGCGGTAAGAGGCCAGATAAACTCAGCCTCTGGTTCATCTAGGTTAAGGGTGACTTTTATTCCTTAAAACAGACTCTTTGTTGCCCACCGCTAAACCCGCCGCCTTACGGGCAAGTTGCTGAGCCAAATCTTTGCTTACGATCCCTAATCATTCTCCTCGCTATGCCTGGACAAAATGACAGTATCCTGCATAGCCATACCACGAATCTTTCCAGTATATATGTTCTGATACTCTGGCCACTGCAGAGGATAAGCAACAATGCCTTATCAACAGGATCGAGGAGAATAGGTAGCTACCCAAGTGTTCTTAATGCATCTAGATGCGCATCAACATGCACAATTTCACTCACCTTGTGACTGACACGTGCACGTTATGAGCACGACTGCAAAGATGGCCGAGGTAAAGCGCATGACGCAAAAAAGTAAATGAAATTTCTCGAGACTTAATGAGACGCTTCGGGTAGACCTAATATTTATATGCGCTAGTAGGTGTGCCTGTGAGATTCGGCACAAAGACATCAGCTTCTGCTATTTGTCTGCTGAATCCTGCTGATGGCGCGGTTCACACAGGAAATAATGCTACTGACCCCCTAGGAAGTACACCATGTTAGAAGATTTCAACATAATCACGAGTCTGAGCATCTTCCGGTAACTGACATGTGATTTTCGCCTTTGGGGGTAACAAATGATCAAACAATTTTTATAATGTTTACCGAGTTTCGTTTCAGATTATCGCTGAAGTCGAATAAGTACTATATGGAAATTCTTGTCTTGTGTTCTTTCGCTGTAGACGGTACACCGCATGCAGTATTGTAAAACGGTAAAATGTTTCCAGATTCAATAGTTTACTAGACAAAAGTTACTGGATTACTGATTTAGATCATTCTTAAATTGCACTACTCCAGACTGTCGAAAATATGGACACAGTTCTAAGGGTTATTGGGATAAGCGAAAAATACCAAAGTTTTGCCACCTCTAACCTGAGTTGCAAAAGCTGTTGAGTCCTCTAAACGTTGCACTGCAATGTATGATTAATCGTTTAAATGGTCCGGTTTGACTGAGCTTTATACCGATATATTCCACAAGAGCTCACATGGGCCAAAAGGCTCACCTTATTAGCATATTATAAGCATTTGACAAAAGCTACAGCTATTTATTCCAGCACACACATTCGTCTCTACATGAACATTCCTAGTGATTGCCGCCGTATGTTGTTTACATTTCATGAATAACTGAGAGTATAAATAAACAGTTCTTTCTTACTATGTATTCATTTTCATATAAACTCGAGCTGTTCCGCCTACGATCCATTGTCGAGTTTGCCGGCGACAAGCTTGGTGCTTGCAGATAACCATTTTAGTACTGGCCATCCGTTGTTTTTGGTTGCATTTTTGGGATTTGCGAGCCATGATCTAATAATCAACAATATGCAAATTCTGTAAGACGGGTAATTATGCTTCACCTTAAGATTATCAGGTTTCGACCAGATCGATCCATATCGTTTTTGCATTTATCTTGAGGATATGTACTAGGCCAAGTCCGTTCACAATTATACATTGTCCTTAACAGTTTCAAGATGTCAAGCTGTTTCTCACTAAATTATCACCTTTCTTTTCAAAATAGCACACCTTTTTGAACTTGCCCTTTGTTTAGAGGAACAACTTTATCATGGCAGTAACTATTTCTCTGTGCCTATAATCAGAAATGAAACCATTTCACTAACATGTCCCTGTCAAATTCCTCCGGTTGTTCACTACCTTCCGTTATCAGGATGCACAGAAACAAATTATCTCAATCACGGAAATATCTGTATTTATCGCGCATCCTTTGGTTTCAAGTAGATGGTAGTAATAAGAACCAATAATGCTTCCAAACGGTTGAGTTTGGTCCAAAATTTGCTGTGACTGCGCTGACAAGTTTTGCGTTTGCGTCCGGTATCCAACATTGCAAACAGGACAAAACTTGGTGGCTTATTTGTATGCAACATTTAGCAGTTAGCAGTGACGTTTGTCCGAATGAAATACAAATACCTGCGTGACTAACACACCATGTATCTTCCTATTACTTAGTTACCGATATGTGGTATTATAATGTTCAGCTGGGTACAGGATTAGATCAAAGAATACAAGTAAAACCAATATTATTTGTCGGCGTCCGTATCCGGATTTGCCTGTCACTGTGTCCTCCTTGGGGACAGTCACAGGACGCCTGCGCCTACAGAACGCCATGGGTATGATGCGCTGCACCAACCACAGTTACACACACACACACACCCCATATCCGGTGTAAACCCAAAGGAATAAAACCGGGATTCGGGTGAATGGGAGCCACGTTATTCAACGGAGCTGGACAATATTCCTTCAACAAGCGGAGCAGAAGTATTCCGGCCTATGTGGGAAATCACGCACAACATATGTACCCATGGCAGTGGTTGGACCGTAGTCCGTTCCACACAGGATGGAACCACCCATTGAGTCTAGCAACATCACGAGGACGGTGCACCCCATCTCAACCAGCAACTACCATCTGGAGCCAGTATGGACTAGGTAGGGGGTAATAGACTGGTAGACACCTTGTCAACATTCACATCAGCCGCAGCCACAACAGAGAGCTGAAACAACATATACTTCTAAAATGAAAGATTACTCATCACACAGGCAAACATACCACATACACCGTCTTATTGGCCTGGCTTAGTAATTCGAATTGAAGCGTACTCATAGTGCTTCTATTCCACGTGCAATAATTCATTCTCCTGCACCTGAGAAACCACCACTTTTATTAATCCACGGAATTCGCATGGATCAAAATTTACCTTGGACTCAGAACACCTGAAATCAACACGAGTTTGTCACTCACATTCTGCTTGTTTTGATAATATTATTTTCTTTACCCAATTACTGTTTCCCTGCCTTAGCTGATAGTACAAAAGCGGTTTGAGTATCCTCCTCGAATTCATTCGATATACATATATGCATGGCTTGGGGTCATCCGTGTCCAATGTCAGTTCAAATACGACATACACACATGTGTTAATCCAAACTGAAATGTGAGCTATCGCAAAGTAGATAGAGACAGAATAGACCCCATGATCAATGGTACGTCAAAAGTTTATTCGTTTCTGTTGTAGATCAGACTAACAACCACTTTCGCAGGCATGAGTATAAGCACCCAATACGAACTCTTGATGTTTCCCTCAACATTTAGACGTGACAGACTTAAATCCTGAGTATCCATATTTGAAGAAACTCGATGTAGCATTAGCGAAACAACTGTTAGGTAGCATGATAAATAAACTACTGGTACAGTGAAATAGTGTGTACTTACGTGTTGCCGTCCACATGTACACTATGGTTTGTCTAGATGACGTGGGAGATAGCACAGCATGCGAATGCGATGCTGTGTCCACTTCTGATTCTCCGTGTAGCCGACCGGTCCGGTCATCTGCTGACCGAGCTCTGTGTACATACTCACAGAACGATTGATGCACAGTCTTTGGTATTGAAAGGTGACATCAACTATGTCCCGCTGCCCCCCGTCAAACGTGGGGCTTTCCTAACAGTGTTCACATTGTTTTGCAAATGTCCAAGTACTCAACCTTACTGCGGACATAAGCTATTTGTTAACGATTTATCTCGTACGTCTCGGGTGCAGCCATTCGGTGCTGATAAAACGATTGTCCATATGGGTCGATTCCTTTCCTCTGTACTATACTAACACACTGATATGCCATTCAGGTTATGTTCAAAATTTTACTTAGCCTGTCCAAAAGATTGGACATGTGCAATGCAACTTCTGGTAGGCGTATCTGCACGCTGCCTTCCACCCGTTTGTGCGTGCGTTTAATTAGCCCCGGTAAATTCAGCATGGCCGATGAACAACTGGAACTATAACTATGTTCAACTTGACCACTAACCTACGGAGTAGAACATAAAGTGGCAACATCTTGATAATCGCTAGTCGGTTAATCGTCGGGATTTTTCACTGGCCACGGAATTTCCGGGGAAATTTCTCTTCGAATGCATAATCCAATGTGGTTACACATGGGACAATCGTTAAACATTGTGTTCCAATTGTCAAACTTTACATGTTGTGCGTACTGTAAGCGATCAATCGATGATAACCTTTTGATTCAAACGTATCCAGCAAACTGGAAGCGTGCACCATAATTTGCCATGCTGGCATTGTTCTGTTCCAAGCCCATAATTCACTCGGAAACACCACGCGCCCGTCAATGACGAATGAGCTCATGGATGGACTGGAACATTATTCTCCGATGTACCGGCTCTCTAAACGTCTTGCTACTTGGAATTAAGCAGCTGGCTATGCTGGGGTTATGCAATCTACAAATCGATTTCAAGGAGCAGAATCTTGATAGTATAGTCTGGTGATTAATACCAAGGAGTTTACATATTGCTGGGACTCGCGGCCGAATAATACTAATACGAAGAGGAACATGCCGTAGCTAACTATCACCGTACTAGACTGCACTAGAGAAGGCAAAAAGAATAGCGTAGCATAGATCATGATGAATACAACATTGTAATGGATAACACGTGAACTCATCGTGGAATAAAACGGAGTTAAATAAGCTTAATAAAGGTAGGTTAGGTGCGGCTAATTAATTCTCGGCAGGTGCAATAAAGGTACCACATTGCACAAATCAGTAGTTAATCATTTTAGAATTAACCTGTACCCAAGGGCGACTTGCTTGCTAGATACAGAATGAGGATGACACAGGCCACATGACGGAGATCACGTAAGCAACTTTTCACGTTAGCAGGGGAATTGTGCGATTATGTTCACTGAAGGCTATCCGTGTCGGAAGGTAAAACCAGATCTGATTATAATCGTCTCATGTCCGGTTGGGAGCGAGAAGCAACAGGGATGTAGAATCACCAGGCAGTTCGTCATGTGTTACTATTTATTTCCCCCTGGTCGCTCGTTATGACCGCTAGCATATCTCGACCAATTCATCAGTGTCTAGAATACAACATATGCCCATGCATTTCGATTTCGATGGCACAACATATGGCCGCTGTTCCGGAATCAATATTGATGACTTGTCTGAATCTCAGCGCATTTACCTGAAGGCGGTAGCAGTCCAAGGGAAGGAGTCTAAGAGAAACTTGAGATGGGATACATTGACCTCATATAGCAGCCTGCAATAAGTCACAGTGTTACACTAGAAGGAATGTAATACGATCCATCTGTCAAGTGGGAACGTAGGGAGACACGAACTGATGGTATCGGGATTTGTACATTAGGCGAGTCCCATTTAGACATCGAGCCATCAGATAATGTTGTTACGCGAGTGCAAATTACATCAGTCTGTCAGACTGAAGTGTGGTGCTTATAAGCGTTTATAGAAGTAATGTAATAAATTTCGTTGGAAAGCCGGAATTTCATGTGGGCTGTTCTGATGGTCGTCGTAAACAATCCTTGTTGGACTGCAAAGGAGCCGCAGTTTAGCATTCGTGCAGG